GGGGTCAGAGGGAGAAGCAGACTCCCCGCTGAGCAGGGAGCCCAATGTGGGACTCGATCCCAGGACTCCAGGATCATGACCTGAGCCGAAGGCAGTCGCTGAACCAACTGAGCCACCCAGGCGCCCCGTGTTGGTTTGTTTTTAAATTTTGATCCCCCCTCGTTAGCCCCTGAAGCTGTGACGTAATTTTGGTTCCACAACCTGGAAAGTACTTACGTTCTGGTTGTGTAGTTGCATTGCATATTCCGTTCTATATAATACTTAAATACCGTTTCATGTGATTTTTAAAGAATTAGAAAAACAATTACACGTTTTCGTATAGTCAGTATATCACAGCAGTTAATTTCAACTGTGATTTTAGAAGGCTGCAGATATGGTAGGCATTTGGGGAAATCACTCTTTTTCCTTTTCCCTCAGGTTTCATCAGTTTCACCCTTTTCTGTGTGCAGCTGATTTTAAAAAGATTGCTTCCTTGTATGGTAGCGATAAGTTTGATTTGCCCTATGGGATAAGAACATCAGGTCAGTAATATTATTCTTTACCTAACCCTATTAATGTGAATGGTGTTTGATGTGAACCACATGTTTATATAATTTTAGGGCCTTTTAATGTTTATGTGTCATGATTCCTAAAGGAAATGATTTGGAGACGGGATGAAGGAAATTAAATTTCAATATAGAAATCCCTACTCCTTTTTGAGGCAGTGTAGAATTTAAGAATAAAATGGTAGATTTGTTGTTTTTATTGAGAAACTGCTTTTTTACTTTGATTTAGCCATGGTATTATTCATGTGTTCTGATGCCTTAGTTTAGTGCAATGTAGAATTAGCAGGATACCCTGTGGGTTGGATTAACATCCTCCCCAGCTCCCCTTTTCGCCTGTTTACCTCTGAGTTTTATTTTATTTCATCAATTTAAGACCTAGCTCCTTGATCAGCCTTTTAACCAGCAGGTATTTCACTGTTGCCAAATTGAGAGGGAATCACTCTATCTACTAATGACAGACTAGTCTTCTCTTTGCTTATTGACACATGAATTGGCTTTATGTAGCTTTACGTTGTAGTTTTGGGAGAGACCCTGAAAGCCCAGGAGGAGATAAGCTTACAGTTTTCTGAGTTAGATTTTGCATATTCAACTGATCCTGTTTTGTGCTTGTGGATTGTATAAATGTGTGTGTATATGTTTTAAAAACATATTGCAAAGAATTTGATAATACATCTAAATTTACTGAAAATTGGTTTTTAGACTAATGTCAGTTTGAAGGGCTATATTCTCTACTAATGTCATCTGATGTTGATATTTTAGGGGTTACTTTTTTATGATTGTTTTCAGATTAAGCATCTTTTTTTTTTTTTTCTTGAGTTTTTGTAAAGTGCCCTTGGAGCATTTTTGAGTGTGCCTATTGAGTGGTGCTGGCTAGTTGCAGTTGTATCATTAATTTTCACCACGGAATAAATCCATGGAGCTGTACCAGTTTGAAATGGGTTTGGGGGAGGGAAGGGGGCAGATGGCTTACTATGTACCTAAGAAGCCATGATTCCTTTTATTTATAATATTCCATTTGTTTTCTAGCGGAATATTTTCGACTTGCTCTTTCAAAACTGCAGAGTTGTGATTTCTTTGACGAGTTTGACAAGTGAGTTTATTTCCTTGCTTTTGTTTGACTTTGAGTTTGAGCTAATGGGGTTCAAAATGTGCACCCCAATTTAAAATGTCTTCATTCAAGAAAATTCCTTAGTATTTGTGTATAACTAAAACCTCTAGTAGTTATTTCTATGAAACTTCAAATAAACTACAAAATTAATTCAGAAGCTGCATAACTGGTTGCCTCAAAAGTCTGCAGAGAGCCTTATGATGAGCAATGCTAGTTCCGGGTCAAGACACTGTAATCCACATTCCTCTTTTCTAAGTTGTTGGTACTGAAGAATTAATTCATAGCTTCTGTTAATCAGCTCACAGCCCCCTCCATGGGCTGTTTCCTGTACCTCCCATGTGCCTTTTTAACACGAGGATCCTTTCTGTTTCACTTGAATATTGGATTTCAGAAGGAGCTCTCTTCCTCTTACTCAGAATTATACTGGAGGGAAGCAAACAGCTTGTTTAGATAATACGTTTTCTGACTACAAAAGGTCATTTAGTTTGTAGGATATTCTGGCATCAAATTAGCCCCGTAGCCATGAAATTGCTAAAGATAGACTTCTTAGCAGGTATACTTACTTTTACAGAGGTAGACTTTCTTCACAAATGTTTAAGCTACATTTTAGGATTTGGCCAGTGGTCCAGTGGGATGGTACAGGTAGTCTGCAGATGTGAGGCTTCCATTAAAAAGGAAAATGACAGAATTTTCCCTCTTGCTCAAGAGAATAGGGGTGCTATTAAGCGGAAACATAAGTGAGGGTAGTAGACGGAGGTGTGAAAATGGAGATAGAATTTGCAGAACAGAGCTGGCAGAACAGTGCTAGATTTTATCTGAATTTATCTCCTTTTCCTCTGGGAGCCAAGATTATCAGAGGGTGGATTATTTAATAAGTGTTGCTCATTTCAGCTTGTATTTACTTGTTATAATTTAAAACTATGCCATCAACTTAATTTCAATTTTTGATTGCATATCAACAGTAACCGCATATATTTTTTAACCTAAAGTTTTATAGCTCTAATGGGTAGAATATTGTTTTGTGCAGACCTTTGGCATATGAGCATTATATCATGCTTTCTAATTTTTACCACCACCCTGCAAAATATCCCCAATAATCCTTTTTTTTTTTTTTTTTTTAATGGAGGAACTGGAACTAGGCACACATATGTAGTTTGCTACAGTCAGCAAATGCTAGAGCCAGGATGTGAACCTAGAGAGTTCCGTCCAGTGCCTGGATATTTGACTTAAGAGTAATTATCTACAAGATCCTTGTCCCTGTAAATGGGAGCTACTGTTAGGATTCTTGGTGGGGGGAGGGGGTGTGACTGGAAGTTTCATTCTTTCCTGGTTTTTATCTTAGAACTAGATTGTACTGTATAGAGTTGCTTTTAGAAGCCTTCTGCCCCAGGTGTTCATCATCTGTGTGTGCCTCAGCCAGGCTCTTCCCTCTGTTCCTGCTGACTTGGTCTTGCTGCTCCCCACCCTTTCTTCCTTTGTCACTGAGCATGCCCCCCACTCCCACCCTCAACCCGTGTCAGACTCTGAGCATCACCCGTATTAGAGGGGAGGTTGGTGTGGGTGGTGAGGAGGGATTAAAGATCTTGCTGATTACACAGGAGTCCTTGAGTCTGAAGTTGTCAAGAGACTGAAGTAGAATAAAATATACAGTCAGAGACTTTTCAGGTACAGAGTGAATGGAAAATGTCCTTGTAGGATCCCCACAGAGTACGCACAGGGATGCGCTGATACTCAGCATTGCTGAATTGCTGGTTTGATGGTGCAAAACCTGTTTCCTAGGGACTTGAGAAAGAGTATTTCGAAAGTAGATAAGAATATATTTATGACACTATTACATTCCATTTGCATATTAACTTTTGGGTTGGGTTCACATGTAATAATAAATTATACCTATATTTTAAGTAAGTCATTCTACATTTGTCTGGAAGCCACTGTACAACACAAAGACAGTAACAGACCAGTCTGTGCCTGAAAAGTGTATTTTAAATAAACTCCAGAAGGTCAGAATATGCTAAACTACCTTATTGTTGCCTCTGAGTCAACTCACTTTGTCCCCTACGTGACCTTAAACATCTCCCATTTCTCCTCTCCACCTGGGAAAAATGCTCTAGAAGAAACAGGTCTGAGAACAGTCTCTTTCTAGGGCAGAGGGGATGGACCGCCCCAGCTGTGGTCTCGGGAGCTGACCTCAGGAGGAAGCTTCGTGGGCCCTGGCTGCTCACTCTTTGTCGTGGGTCTGTAGGTTGGGGGAGGCAGGGAGCTGAGCAGGAGAGGGGGTAGCTCGGCCTTTCTAGTCCCTTCCCCTGTGGACTGCTCTCTCCACTGATTTTATTCTCTCTCTACCCTCTTGGTCCCTTCCAGAAAGGTCCAGACATTTTGTCACTGTTTCAAATCCAAATCCTTTACAGTTCTACCAGATGCAAGTCCTAGTTTTGTTCAGTTACATTCCTTAGCTTGTGTGTTGCCCTCTGTTGGGACAGATTCCACTATGAATGGGAAAACTCTAACTATCAGATGCATTTACAAGATAGAAAGCTTCCTCTTTCTCACGGGTGTCACATAAATGCAGTCTGCAGGGTAACATTCAGGGCCAGTCTGCTAGCACTGATCAGCAGGGACCTGGGCTGTTCTGTTGTGAGTCTGCCATTTCTATATACATATCTTCTTCCTTAATATCCAGTGTGATGGTTGGACTTCCACCAATCTCGGCTGTATTCTGGCCAGTAAGGAGGAGCAAAGGGAAGGCCATGCTCGTATCCATTAAGACTTTCCTCCTGCTTTAAGGACGTTGCCCAGAAATCACATATAATACTCTATTACACCCAGGGATGTGCTGGAGCCAGTTGGCACCAACTTGAGAGCTATAGTTCTTTCCAGTTCCATGTTCAGTGCCATCAAGGTAGAAACTTGAAATTAGCCATTTTGGGAGTATTTTATGCCATGGAAATTGGCAACACTGCAAACCAGGGCTTCTCCTATCACCTCTTTTTCTCCCAGAGAGAACTGGTGGTTAATATTTGCTAGCAACCACTGACTGTATCCCATTGGCTAGGGATATAATCACAAGGCCACATCTAGCTGGAAGGTGGGCTAGAAATGTAGCCTTAAAAAAAAAAAAAAAAAAAGTAGTCTTTATTAAAAGTGGCTGTGTGCCCACATTAAAAAAGTCCTATTTTAAGGGACCTTATTGAGGGGCAGCTGGTCTCTGTGCCTGGTAAATATTTAGGATTCTGAAGTCAGTTATATAACTTTACCAACTTAGCTGAGTGCTTGAGGAAGTCAACCATGGTTTGTCTCTTGGAGAATTGATCACCGTGAAAGCTGTTGAAACATATTGTGTTGTAGATCATTTAGAAGGGGCATTTCTTTTTTTTTAATTTTTAAATTTTATTTTTTTATGAAGCGACTTTTTTTAAGATTTTATTTATTTTAGAGAGAGCATGTGCAAGTGGGGGGAGGGGCAGAGGGAGAGGGAGAAAAAGAATCTCAAGCAGACTCCACGCTGAGTGTGGAGCCCAACGTGGGGCTTGATTCCATGACCCTAACATCATGACCTGAGCTGAAATCAAGAGTCAGCTGCTTAACTGACCGAGCCACCCAGGCACCCCATGAAGAGACATTTCTTATGAAGGACTTGTTATATATGCCATATTGGTGGGTAATGTTAGTAAAGTAACTCTGAGGCACACTGATATGAGGAATTCTTAATCTCAGGAAACAAACTGAGGGTTGCTGGAGTGGTGGGGGGTGGGAGGGATTGGGTGGCTGGGTGATAGACATTGGGGACGGTATGTGCTATGGTGAGCGCTGTGAATTGTACAAGACTGTTGAATCACAGATCTGTACTTCTGAAACAAATAATGCAATATATGTTAAGAAAAAAAAAAGAAGATAGCAGGAGGGGAAGAACGAAGGGGAGTAAGTTGGAGGGGGAGACGAACCATGAGAGACGATGGACTCTGAAAAACAAACTGAGGGTTCTAGAGGGGAGGGGGGTGGGGGGATGGGTTAGCCTGGTGATGGGTATTAAAGAGGGCACATTCTGCGTGGAGCACTGGGTGTTATGCACAAACAATGAATCATGGAACCCTACATCAAAAACTAATGATGTAATGTATGGTGATTAACATAACAATAAAAAATTATTAAAAAAAAAAGTAACTCTGAGGCAGAGGGAGCCTTTTCCTAAAGCTAATACCATGAAGTAGTTGTGTGAGAAATAAACAAGGAAGGGAATAGGAGTGTGTGTGTTTAGCCATGACGCTTGTGTGAAAGACCCCTTGAGCTAAACCATTCCTGGCTTGTTCTCTGCTCTGCCTCTTCCCCTCGCTAACCACTCCCCCCTCGCCACCAAAACACAAAACAAACAAAACAACAGACTCACCTGTTCTTTTTCTAAGTTTTTGGTCACCTAGTAATTATAATAATTTGCCTCCCTTTGTATACTCATATCTGTTAGAAAAATATTTGCGTTATAGAAAATTGCGTTTCCCCCTAATTTTGTGACAGAGATTCTCTGTTCTCTGTGAAAAGAGGATACCATGCAATGGGACATGTGTATTACTCTATTTTTTTTTATTTCTCTTTTTATTTTTAGTGTAAATCTTGGACTTTTTCCTTTGTATTGTTTGAGTTTCACTCCCCAGCAATGGCCCAGCCGGTGGGAGTGGGGTAAACACTGGGGCACTGTGCTGTTTTGTAAAGAGTCCTGATTACCTAAGCTTACCTCCCCTTGCTGTGTTGTGTGGCCTGAGAGCCAGACTCTAAAGCAAAGTGGTGAATCTGAGAGATGGTCAGAGGCGGGAAGGGTGGAGATCTAGTCCAATTCCCTCATTTGAAAGGTGAGAGAACCAACGTCCGGAGAAGTTATATGGAAGGTGATATGGAGGTCTGTAGACTTCTGTTCTCAGTACCTCCTTCCACATTTGAACAAGCAAAGAGAAGACAAGACCCCACAACCGAATGTCTTGAACTGAGCATCA